CACACACACACACACACACACACACACACACACACACACACACACACGTAATGTGAGAAGGATGAAGGACATTTCCACATCCCTCCCATTTTTCCTGCCCTTTCTTGTTTTGTTTTTTTAATGTGGCTGACGGTAAAGTGGCTAAGGAGTGATGCTACATCTCTCTGCATTTTATCACTTGTTAAAGGTCGGATGGCGATTTCCAGATGGCGAGCTGCTAACGTACCCAGCACTAGCTCAGCCTCCTTCACCACATGCTCGGCAAAGGCCTCATCCTCCATGCTGCCGCTCACATACTGCGCGGAGGCTGCACCCAGCTCCAGACACCGTGTGATGACCTGGAACACGTGAACGGAATGTTGTAGAACAGGGGTTCTCAGACTTTTGTACTGGTGACCCCTTTCACACAGCAAGCCTCTGAGTGCCACCCCACTTATACATTAAAAACACTTTTTAAATATATTTAACACCATTATTAATGCTGGAGGCCAAGCGGGGTTTGGGAAGGAGGCTGACAGCTTGCGACCCCCCACGTAATAACCTCGCAACCCCTGTTGTAGAAACACATTTCCCATTGATGACCCTCTGAGAACCTCAGTGTGTTACATCCATGGTTGGATAGACATGGCTCTGTGGGTAGAATGAGTGCATTCTGCCTGCCAAGACTGGTTTCCCTTCGTTTGACCCTTTGACCTTACTCCTGTCCTTGTTTTTTTTATTAGTTGTCCCCTGTAACTTTTTGGTCTCCAGGTCCTGTAGACCCCCCCCCTTAGGCTGGGGGGGATCCTTTAGCAGTGAGCACTTCCTGGATCCCAATAGGATTACTATGTTGAACCCTCTGGCTCTGGCTTTAAACAGTGGGCACTAAAGGATCTGAGAATGGGATTGGAGCCTCCTGGGATTTCAAAGTCTGTGTACCATGGAAATCTGAAGCAACCTGGCTATTTACCAGTATAGTCTGCTCTGCAGTGGAAGTCTGTGCCTGCAGGATGAGTGGGGGCGTGTGTATATTACTGCAATGCAGTGAGAGGGCATGCTTGTGTGCTAGTGCACATGAGATTGTGTGTACATAAGCGGGTGTGAGCACGGATACCAGCACATGTATAAAAAGAAGAGTTCGTGCGTGTGCATGACCATGAGCATGGATATGTACATGCGCTTGTGCACGCACAAGCGTGTGTGTGTATGTTTGTGCATGTGTGAGAATCAGCATGCGAGTGTACCGATGCGCATATCATGTAATTGCAATGGTGAGTGTGCATGCGTGTCTGTACGTCTATGTGTGTGACATGATAAGACTGACATTCATGTGTGTGTGTGCTCGGTACGTACTTTCTGAAGCTTGGCTTCCGTCCGTGCTGTGATCAGAACATGGGCTCCCATCCGTGCCAGGTGATAAGCCATTTGCTCTCCAATTCCAGTGCTTGCTCCAGTGACAATCACTCGCTTCCCTTTCAGCATCTCTGGAAAGCAAGGCACAGGGATGTTAATTTACCAGGATACCAGAGAAAGATTTCCCCCCCTCTCCGTGTCCCCCAGGGGTCAAGAAACCAAAGTGGACAACAAGCCAATCCAACCTGCCCAAATCAGCATGCCCACCCTGCACCAGGCAAACTTTCTGCCTTGTCCCAAGAAAACTGCAGTAAGAAGAATAGTTAAAATTCCTAATGTGAATAAAGCAATATTAATAGGGACATGGCCAGATTGTTTCAAAAAACCATCACGTTGCAAATCAGGATATGATTTTTTTTTCTGATAATTAAAATTTCCAGCCATTTTCAAAAAAGATATTTTCAAAGTTATTAAAGATTTTTTTAAAAAAATTATTTGTAAAATAGCCTTTTTCTAGCTCTTTTTTTTACAAACATAAATCATGTGAAACTGAATGTTAAAAGCCCCCCCGTAAATCCGAATCATAAAACTCCTACTTCACCTGTTTCCTAAGAAAATATTTCTCTGTGTTACTTGCTTGATGTAGTTTGAAAGCTCCGCAAAGCAGAGTGTTCTATTATCTGCAGTGTTCCAAATGCCCAGACATGTTTCATTTCAGGCTCTGTACACATCCTGTGTAAAACAATCAAACGTGGCTTTTTCTGTTTAATTTTTAAAATACATTCGCTTTTAATAACTTACCAGGTTTAAAATCCTCCCTTGCTGAATAAAAACAGAAGGCCAAGACCAATCCTACAAAGGGAATGAAAATCTTTCTCAACAGACCCATCCCACTGCAGAATCAGGAAATAATAAAGCATGAAAGAAGAAGAAAAAAAACAACAACTCCTCCGCAGATCTGCTCCAGACAGAAGCGCCAATGCCTAACCTTTAAAAACCTGTTAGTGCCACGACTGCAGCTCCCCAAAGGTTCAACCTTTGCAAAAATCACAGTGGTGGGATTGATGGGTCCATCAAAACCTTTAATTTGCTCCTCTTCAGAGTTGATAAATCTCAGTCTAAGTGACAGCTTCGCTTTGGTTCTGGCCAGCTTATTTAATATTTCCTGCCCCTACGTTAACGTATAGTATTTTGCACAACACCCTGGAAGAGGTGTGCCTTTGCTGGAAAGCATCAAATTTCACTGTAGGAAGCATCGGAGACTGCCTACTGAAGGTGGGAGAAGGTTGCGTTGTATTACCATTTGTCTGCTAAGCACTGACACTGCACACAGGCACTATTGCCAACATATAAGAGGACACAGACCCTGCCCCAAGGAGCTTACAATTGTATTGCAGTTCAGGCACAAGGAAAGCAATTCAGGCCCATGAAAGCCACCAGTTGGGGGGTATTGGTTCAGCGTTGCAGTGCTCTGGACTGGGTATTGTTTAATTAACACACTTTGGTTGTGTCCACATTGCAGCTGGGGCGTGAGCCTCCCAGCCTGTGTAGACGGACTCGTTCTAGCAGGGCTCGAGCTAGTGTGCTAAAAATAGCTGTGTTGACGCTGCAGCACTGGCAGAGATCCGGCTCTGACCCAAGGGGTCGGGTGGGCTTGAGAGCCTGAGCTGCCATTTGAGCCATCACAGCCACACTGCTATTCTTGGCATGCTAGCTCAAGCCGTGCCAGCGCAGGTCTGTCTTCCAGCCCTGGGAAGCTCACCCCTAGCTGCAGTATAGACAGACCCTTTAGGGCCTTGATTCAGCAAATGGTTGCCATTGTGGCTGCTGAGCTGGAGGCCCCAGGTTGTTCAGAAGATGCTTTCCCCATTTAGCTCGTTGTAGCCTATTGTCTAATTGACTGCCACTAATTGGCTCTCTCACCAGAGGAGCCAGGGTTTCAGAGAGTCAGGACTGAACTCCCAGCTAGATGTGGTCCCTCCAGTTCAGGATGGAGGCCGGGAAACTTGCCGTGATGCTGTGCATGCTGTATCCTGTTGTGTGGGTAAACACAGGTCTTTGCTCTCCAGGCAGGGCCGGCTCCAGGCACCAGCCAACCAAGCACGTGCTTGGGGCGGCACCTGGTAAGGGGCGGCCAATCTTGGGGTGGCGGGGGGCAGCGCGGCGCGGCGCTCGGTGGGGGGGGGGGGTCCGGCGGCGCGGCGCTCCGCGGGGGGTGTTCGACAGCGCGGCGCTCCGGGATATTTGGCGGCGCGGCGCTCGGCGGGGGTTTCGGCAGCGCGGCGCTCCACAGGGGTTTCGGTGGCGCTCCGTGCGGGGGGCGGGGGTGTTCGGCAGCGCAGCGCTCGGCAGGGGGTGTTCGGCGGCGCTCCACGTGGGGGGGGTTCAGCAGCATGGCACTCAGCGGGGGGCGGGGGCTGTTCGGCAGCACAGCGCTCGGCGGGGGGGTTTTGGCGGCGCGGCAATCGGTGGGGGGGGTGTTGGGGCGGGGCGGCGCTTTTTTTTTTTTTGCTGCTTGGGGTGGCAAAAAAGTTAGAGCCGGCCCTGTCTCCAGAGGAGGCTCTGCAGCATCTTTCATTAGCACTCAATTCATTTTCAGATTAAAGAGGAAAAATCGAAGAGAACTCCAGAGCAACAGCCAAAGGCTCAGGGTGTTGGGCCTCAGTACAGTCGGTTACAGAGGTCTTATAATAGGTGTCGGCTTAAGCGACTGTCAGCCTAGCTCTAGCTCTGGGATCTTCCTGGACAGGACAGTACATCTTGTTACGTGCCGTTCTGGGCTCAGTGCCATGGCACATATAGGTTGTGGCACCACTCTGACTGGGCTTCATTTGCTAACGAGATTACCTCTCTGGACCCTGTCCATTCATGTGGTGGGGAAAGTTCTGTTTACAAGGATAAAAGCCTCGTCTGCAGGGCAAGATGGTTTGCGTTACAGATGCACAATGCAATGGGTTCCTGTGGTGAAATTGTACACACCCCACATCTATTTAGAGAAACCTCGGTGCGTATCCTCTTCCACATAGCCAATGAGTTAACCTGAAGTACCACACCCTCCCCAAACATCCCAATTCTATAACCAATCAGGGGATGCAACTCAGCACTCAGGAGCAACCCTACAATAACAAACCAGTGGCTGTGTGCAGCCCAGCACACACACAAGCAACCCTCCAGTGATGAACCCGGGACAGTGCTTTGTTATAGCTTTGAAGGAACAGGTGATTTGGGTTAATAATGTACTCAGGAGGTCTGTCCAGCTGCCAGTGGGGCACTGCTCTTAAAGTGTAGATTTCTCTTCACTCTTAACTTATCCTCTGCTGATAAAAAGCACTTAGAATATGTTTTGGACAGATAAATGTCATTGCGTTCTGGGAAACGCTGCCACTTCCCCCATCTTCTTCTTTTGTTCTAACCCTGAGTTCATGGAATTGGCCACTTCCCTTTCTTGGCTGAACAATAAAAGAATGAACTCTCTGTTACATGCAGCACCTGTGCACCCAGCACCTGTGGAAAGGACGGATGGTCCAGTGGCAAGGGCCCTAGGATCTGGGAGAGGTGGAGTCAATTCCCTGAAGAGTTCTGGTGTGACTTTGGAAAAGTCAGGAAGGGCCAAATTTGCAAAGGTTTCCAGGTGTCTAACTTACACTGATTGCAATGGGAGTTAGGCCCCTAAATACCTTTGGAAATCTGACCCTTAGTCTCTCCCGGCCTCAGTTCCCCCTCTGTACAATGGGGACAATAGCACGTCCTTACCTCTTTGGGGGGAGTTGAGGATAAAAACATTCAAGATGGTGAGGCGTTCAGATACCACAGCAATGCGGGCCAGATACGTATGTTATGTGGGATGGGCAAGTCACTCTCTTAGGGTACTATTGTTATTTGTATTTGTAGCATCTAGAGGCCGCAGTTGAGCTCAGATCCCCGTCATGCAAAACGCTGTTCAAACACACAGAGCAAGACTGCCCCTGCCCCCAAAGACCTTGCAATCTAAATACCCAGGATAGGCAAAGGGTGGGAGGGGAAACAGAGGCACAGAAAAGGGAAATTCCTTGCTCCAGGTCTCACATCAGGTCCCTGGCAGAGCCAGGAATAGAACCCTGTCTCCTGATTCCCAGTCCAGTGCTCTTGGGGTATGTCTATACAGCTGTCAGATGTGAACTTGTGCTAGTGCTCTGAAACTAGCTGCATAGATGGTGCTTTGAAGTGGCGGCTTGGGCTGGGGCTCAAGCTCTGAAGCCCATGGATGGGGGTGGGCTTTAGAGTCTAAGCAGTGGGCTGACAGCTTTTTTAACAGTGCAAACAATGTAGAATGCAGGGCTGGTGAAATGCGTAGGGTTGACAGCCCTGCTTGGTTCATGTGCTGCCCAACCGTGTCCCGAGGCTGTTGTGGGGAGTTGACAGGGATCCGATCCTCCTCCCGGCAAAGCTGCTTTCGAGCTCTAACCTAGAGGCTGCTCTTGGCACTACTGTAATTGCAACAGCTGGGCAGGGGGAGCTTGCTGGGGTAGGGGGAGGTGCTAACACACACCTTTCATTCTCCAGGTGAGTGGCTCTTGGCTGCTGGCCTCTGTAGTACCTCCCAATAGCTGGGCTTTTTTCAGAAGAAACCATTAATGGCATTGGTTGGTATGGAAACCTGTGGGGAACAAGTGATCTGGATTGACCACAGACGTATGGGATCTAGAGATGGAAAATGTCCTATCTGGCCCAGTCCTTCTCCAGCAAGGCAGGTTTGTCCCCTACAGGACATTTCCTAGTGGTTTATCCAGTCTAATTGTACACCTCTGAAACAGTGGGTCTTCCATCATTTCCCTGGGGGGCTCTTCTACAGCCTGGCTCTCACTCAAGAGGCTTTGCCTTCCTGCTATTTACTCCAAATATCCTGTTCTTTAATTGCCTCCTGTTATTCCTATTGCCCTCCCATAATTATTCATCTCCCCCCATGGTGTGGCGTGGAACTCCCTTCCAATACTTACCGAGGATTAGCACCTGCCCATTATTTTGCCAGACTGGACTGCTTTAGGTCCCCGCTGTTTCCTCTAGATCCCTCCATCCCTTCACTTTATCTAAACATTTACATACAACTGAGCTGAGCCCAGTATTCCTGGTGTGGTGTCACCAGAGAGCAGGGTATGAGATGCAGTCCCAGATCACATGGGCCTGTTTTGGAGGCTACGCAGAAATGGGAGCTCACCTCATTTGCTGACTGTCACGCTTCCCAGGTTCCTCCATCCCACTTGGCATCTGTGGCTTAGTGCCCCCACCAATCCCTTGGGTAATAAAAACACTTTAATCTAATGGTTGGTTTTACACCCCTGCCAGCACCATGTTATCCGATCGCCTTCCGTATAAAATCAATAGTGAAGTCCTTAGTGAGCTCCATGGAGTCTCTGGCTCTTCTCCCTTCTCAGGACAAAAACTTTGCTTGGGGGTAGAGTTTTTTTAAATGTTGTTTGTTATTTGGTTATTTGACTTGTTGGTTTCAGGCTGCTTTTTCTGGGGGTGTTTGGTGAGGAGGAGGTGATGGGGGGAAAGCCTTTTCTGAAGAGAAAAGTTTAGCAGCATTTCCTAAAGCGTGTCAGATTCTAGGCTCACCTGATGTTCTGTCTTATGTTATTTCCTGCCCATTTTTCTCAAGGTCCCTATTTCTCTGTTCTCACTGGGGCTTGCAACACCCCCCCCCCCACCCCGGTTTAATGTCATCTGCTTGTGTAATTATTCATGCTCTTCCCAGATCGCTACCCTGAATAACTGGAGGAGCTCACGGGGAGGGGAGGGGAGGGGATTGAGTGCTGCCTGAAATCTAACACCTCTCTTAAACATAAAAGGCCCTTCTGTAGCTATTTACACCCTCAGTGTATGGTACAGACATTGCCTGGCTCCCAGGTGCTGTGGGAGGATTAAGGGATAAACAAGTGTTGCTATTTCTCGTTTTGCAAAACCAGGAGAACAGTTACGGAGAGAAAGGAAGTGATTTGCCTAGGGCCTGGTGTCAGCACTGGGATTAGAATCCTGGAATCCCTGGCTTCCAGGCCTGTGTTTGGAGGAAGAGGCCTCATATCCCCACATGATTTCTTTTGCAGCATTTGATTAGCTTGGCCTTTCAGGTTC